ACAGCTTAATGTTTAAGTGTGGGCTCTGGAGTGTGACTGGCCGGATTCAACATTTAACTCTGCCACATACTAGCTGTGACCTTGGCTGAATGACTCAGCCTTTCCATGGCCTACTTTCTTCACCTTAACCTAGAAATAATGAGACTGCACAACTGAAGTCTTTGGTGAGAATTAAGTGAGACCAGGCCCTGTCTGTAAGCACATACTAAATACTGTTGATTGATATTGTTACTACCATAATTTTAAATTGTTCTCTATTAGAATATACAGATTTCTCATCAAGTGTTAAGTCTTACCTAAGAAAAACATTAGATATTCAAGAATCCACATAAGGAGCAAACTGGTTCCCCCACTTTCTTGTCTGAGAAAATCTTAGCCCAAAAATATATTTGGACACCTAGAATATACTATCACAAAGTAAGACCATACACATTTTTAACTAGCCAATGTGGTTCAGGAGATTGATCATCAATCACCCCATGCACCTGCACCAAGAGGTCACTAGTTCGATTCCCAGGCAGGGCACATGCCCAGGTTGCAGGCTGGATCCCCAGTAGGGGGCGTGCAGGAGGCAGCCAACAGATGTTTCTATCTCTCTCTCCCTCTCCTTTCTTCTCTCTCTAAAAAAAAAAATCAATAAAACTTTTTTTTAAAAAAGAAATACACACTTTTAAGTTGTTTTAAAACTAGCATATCCTAAGAAATTCCATCTACTCCCTTTCAAGCCTACCTCGTGATTCTTTATGAGTACCATTAAAAACCATGACCATATCAAATAAAGACTTTAAATTAAAAGAGGAAAGCTGGCCCTCAGCACTGCTCTTTAATTCTCTCAGCTGCCATCAAAGAAAGAAGGAGTTTCAATGCACCTGCACCTGAATGAAGCCACTAAGCGCTCTGGCTCTATAAGATAAAATTCAAAGTCCTCCTTTGGACATAAACGTAGGTAAGATTAAGTTTGCTTACAAGTGTTTACACTTTAGGTGAAGATTACGTGTTAAAATCTAAATACCCAGGTAAGCTTATAAGTGGCAAGCAGCCACTTGAGAACTACGCCACTGTGCACAGTGCTTTTCGACTTTGAAATCTTCCTGCTGTTGACATTTTGTGAATTAGGAAATTGACCAAAACAGCAGAAAAGAGGCAAACTAACACTCAAGGGCTGCATGGAAATTGCACAGGCCATGCTGCTCCCTCATCAGTGTGAGAATGAGCACATCACAATCATCTCCCACCTTCGTCCTAAATATTTCAAGCTCTACCACCAGCCACGCAAAGGAGTTAATGTGCAGATTCTAGAAGTAGTAACAGCAAAGGATTATGAGCATTGGTGATAGCTTTTGTTTCCACACATAAATAGCAAAAAAACTAAGACTATGAAAGGCAGGAATGAGAAGGCAAAAGAGAAACAAACAAAACTGACCCAGAATTTGATTCTTCTCCTTAGTACAGGGTCACTTATATCCATAAAAAATCATTCAGAAGTCATTTATTATTAGGAGAACCTCAAAGGATTTTATTCAAAAGAAAATGCAATGTCATGTTGTGATCAGTTCTTCCAGGCTTCAGCAATCCTGTGTCATTCTCTGATCTCCAGAGCTGTCAAACTCTGAGTTTAAAGAGTCCCTGGGAAATGAAATCCACAATGCAGAGGGAGACAGTTTCTAAAAGATGACACAAACCAACTCCTGTCCTATAAACAGGTTACTGGGTCCAAAACCATTAGGTGGCGTTGTGAACTGAACTGTGTCCCCTAAGGTTTATATGTTGTAATAATCCCAGCACCTAAGAACATGACTGTACTTGAAGACAAATTTTTTAGAGGTAATTAAGTTAAAGAGAGGGCATTAAGAGTGGTTCCCTAATCCATTCTGACTGGTGTCCTTATAAGAAAAGGACATTTGGACACAGGCAAGTAGAGAGGGGAGATGATGTGAGAACAAAGGAGAAGACGGCCATCCACTAGTATAAGCCAAAAAGAGAGGCTTGAAACAGATCCTTCCCTCCTGGCCCCTAGAAAGAGGGCCCTAAAATCCTGACCTGGAACTTATAGACTCCAGATCCATGAAATGATAAAATTCTGTTGTTTTAGCCACTTCATTCGTGGTACTTTGTTACAGTCCCAGCAAACCAACAGGGGTGACTTGCCTTACTTATATCGTACGGTGATAAAAAACAAAATCAGGATCAACACCCAGCTTTCCAATATCCATGGCTTTCTACCTCACTACACTGCCCTGCAAGTTAACTCCCTGACTTCACTCCGAGTTCTCTCCCACAAAAACATACCTGTTCAACTTATTAAGAACCATGATGAACAGATGCTATTTAGGCTGAACTTTTGTCAGTTACGCTCCCACATCACCAACAAGACACTGTCATATGCACTGAGTGGCCAGATTATTATGATCTCTGAATGCATAATAATCTGGCCACTCAGTGTATATCCTATAAAATAAAAGGCTAATATGCAAATTGTCCCCTCGACCAGGAGTTCGACAAGCAGGCAGGCCAGCCAACCGCCCATGTCCCTTCCCCCTGGCCAGGCTGGCTGGACCCCACCCATGCATGAATTCGTGCACCAGGCCTCAAATACACACACACACACACACACACACACACACACACACACACACTGAGTGGCCAGATTATTATGCACTCAGAGATCATAATAATCTGGCCACTCAGTGTAGTGTCTCATGAACGAACTCAAAATGCCTAAGACCCAAATCAATTACCCTTCAAAGTTAGCATGACACGGTTTTGATCTAAAAACAGCTAGGTATAAGATGCAACTCCCTGGACTAGTCATCTAACCTCTCTGAGCCTCCATTCTATATTTATGATATAGATTCTATAACCAATGTAAATTCTATACCAAAAAGAACCTGCAATGGCTAATGTGACGATGAAATTGGATAACAGCCGCTTCACAGTGTGAAGTGTGAAAAGCACTCCTCCAGGCAATCACAAACTATTTCTCCCTCTGGCATCATATTTTTCACTCAAACTCAAAACCATTGATATTTCCCTCTCAAATAATCTATAACCAATAATTCACCTATCTCTGACAATTCTTTCTCTACCCATCATTTTTGACACTGCTTTCAAGTAAACCTGGGCCCTCATAATTTCAAATCTGCACTACTTTGAATGATTGATCTATCAGCCTCCCAGTTCCTTCTGACCTAAACTATATTATATCCTAATGTCAGATTTATCTTTCTCATGCATTCAGCTCAAAAGTCTTCAGAGGCACTCCATCCACAAAACAAGGTCGCAGCTACAGAGCCAGCCCTGCATTCTACAACAGAACTGAATCCTAGGGACAGTTTCTAAGTTTTTCTCAAGACTTACCATGTGCCCACAGGCCTTGCCTCATATGCAGGCACTATAAACAGATAGCTCATCCACAGCTCCCACGGACCTTACCTGCTTCTTCCTTGAATTTCCCATTGATGGGCCTATCACAACTGGATCCGGTTTTATTTCTTAACAGGCGCCAACAGCAAGGTTAGGTTGGTTAACTCCAGGGAGCAGGCTGCCTCCCAGTTTCATTTTCCTCCTGCTTCTCTCTTGGCCTGGCATCTCTTGGTCACTGTCCTACTACCTAACTTTCAGGATCTACCATAAGCAAATTCAATAGCACTCTTAACCTTGCCTCTCAGAGCTCAACTGGAACTCACTAAGGATGTCAGCCAGTCGTTTTCAATCTCATCAGACCCAAAACCCTCTTTATATAACAACTCTTACAATTAAATGAAAGCCATAGATAATAGGGTCTGTGTACACACATAATTTCATATACTTAACAAACGATTTCAAATATATATCTAAACATAAATGATATTTATACCTCGATGCAGATCAGCTGAAAAATAGCTGTGTTTCCTTCAGTACAAAAATAAGCTGAAATTTTATGTAAAGATGATTTGTACTTTCAAACATATTGTCGAGGTAAAGCTATTAATACTGAAACTGAACTTAAAAGTTCCCCCTAATAAAAGATATTTTGTAATTTTGGTGTAGAAATACTATGCAGGAGTAATAAAGCAAAAGAGCAACAGTATTTAATAAAAATTTAAACTTATGTGTAACAAGTAACTACACTGTAAAAGGAATTTTTAGGAAAGTGTCAGAATAGAAGAAAGTACAATATAAATGATGTTCATATATAAAGGGTATCTATAAGTCAGTAAGAAAAAGCAGCAGAAAATGTAGTAAAGGACAAAACAAAGAAATCAAGAAAGAATACAAATTAGTAATAAGATAGTATGATCCACCTTTTTTTAAAAACTTTATTTTAGTCCTCACCGGAGAATATGTTTAGAGAGAGGGAGATGAAGAAGGGGAGAGACAAAGAGACAGGGAGAGGTAGGGGGAGAGGGAAAGATAGAGAAAGAGAGAGAGGGAGGGAGGGAGAGAGAGAGAGAGAGAGAGAGAGAGAGAGAGAGAGAGAGAGAGAGAGAGAGGGAGGGAGGGAGAGAAAGATACAGAAACATCAATCTGTTGCTTCCTATACACAGCCCTGACTGGGGATCAAACACACAAACTGATAGAGAATTGAACCCACAACCTTTTGGTACAAGGGAGATGCTCCAACCAATGGAACCACCCAGCGAGGGCTGAACCCTCATTTTTAAAGATTTTCCTTAAAAGTCATGACTACAGAGCAATGCTAGGTTAATATGTTCCTTAGGAGCTCTGCAAACCAAGTCAGAAATACAAAATTCCTCAGTCAGCTAGTGATCATCGCATCTTCAATACACAGCCCTCTGTTTGACTCCCACACCCGAGTATGCAGCAGGATTGTCTCATTTTACTTAACATGACTGGATACAACCTCAAGAGGTACTGCCTTTAAATTTCAGCTTACACATTCCAGTAGGAGATATAACCATATAACTTAAAAACTCAGCATAGCCAGAGGTGCACAATATTTAAACAGCTACGAATATCATGCAAACACAAAAGCAAAGGTAACAAGAGAAAATGCCTACCTTCCCTGATAGCGGTAAAAGGTGTACCTTCTTCTTCTTGCAGCCTGATCACCTTCAGGGCTACCAACTTCCCATTTACCCTGGGGGGGGGAAAATGAAAGAAAAAATGAGAAGCAAATCCTTGAAAATCTGCTCCTGTTATGGTTCTAATTTTCTTCCTTACAATTTATATTTCTGCACTGAAAATGTCAGTGACTCAATTACGCCGCCACAACATGATTAATTCCAGGAAGGCTGGGAATTCTGTATCATCATCATAAATATTCACTTTAAGTACTCCATTTTAAATATTCACATTTGCACAGTCCAACATTTAACTGAAGTTTTCTGATTCATTCCATGTTCCTTCCTTCCCGAAATTAATGCCTAATAAAATCACCATGCTTCATCGATTACTCCCAGATTAAATAAAAATCAAGTAGTCAAAATAGCTTTCTCTTTTTTTTCTCCAGTAGCTCCTTTTTTTCTTTTGCTGAAAAGTCTTCATCTTCAGTCCTAAACTGAGATCACTCAATTCCCAAGGACAAATTCCCGCTTCTGTCTTCCCCTCCTTCCCTTCCTTTTCCTTCCTTCCTCTAACTCTCCTTTCCTCTCCCACCTCTCCCTCCTTCTCTTCCTTCATGTCAACATCAACCATTTCTCCCTTCCACAATTTTTTTCTTACTGGAGAATCCTAAAGTTATATTTGGTCTGATTGTGTTTTATAATACAGTGCATCATTAAAATAAAAATTATGAATATTTTACTTTTACATGGTTACACAAGACCAGTCTAAAGCAAATGGTTCTTCCAGATGCATTCTAAATGTATATCAGCTCTAATTAAAAGTAAGAATACACTAGGCAGATCACTTTTATCCAGTCAATTCTGTTAGCAAAGACATGTCTACCTATATTAGTCTTCCAGTTAAATGTTCTACTTTCTACCTTTACTGCACCTAGCAGCATATTTTGTTAAATAAAATAGGTAAAACATGCACACACTAAAAATTCTGTAAGGTACAAGAAAGTATTTGATGAAAAGGAAATCTCTCCGTCACACCCTCCCTCACAGCCACCTAGCTCCCATTCTCTGAGGTTACCACTTACCATTACACACACACACACACACACACACACACACACACACACACGTGGCAAAAGTAAGCTTACAATTGCTCACGTGGGAAATAGTAAATAACAATACAAGAATAAACTCTGGCCCTGGCTTGTGTGGTTCATTTGGTTGGAGTGTCACCCCATGCACCAAAAGGTGGCTGGCTGGATTTCTGGTCAAGGCACATACCTAAGTTCCAAGTTCAAACCCTGGTGGGGGCACATATGAGCAGCAATTGATTGATGCTTCTTTCATACATGAATGATTCTCTCACTCTAAAATCAGTAGAAACATCCTCTGGTGAGGATTTTAAAAAATATATAAACTCTGTTTCAGGTACTCACAACCGTAAATCTACTTTTTTCTGCCATATATGTACGTATACACACACACACACACACACACACACACACACACACACACACGTTAAATCACACACATATGCATAGAATACATATACATATACAAATGGTAGTATGCATACAGTCTAGTTATTATCAGTTAACAAATTCATGGGAAACTATATCTTGTTTTTTTAAAGACCACAGGGTGTTTCTTTGCATGACTGATATATACTTAATTCAATCCCTACTGATGGACACTTGGCAGGTTCCCAACTTTTTGCTACTAAAACAATGATGCAATAAATATTCCTGGACATGTAATTTCATCTATGTAAAAAGAGGTCTGTAAGGTAAATTCCTAAAAATAAAATTGCAAGATCAAAATTATGTGCCTTTCTAAATTCTAATTCTTATGAATGTTGGGAAATTATTCTGCATGAAGTCTATAGCAATTTGCATTTCCTACAGCAAATGATAAGAGCTCCTGTTTCCCTCCCCTCCCCAGCCTATGTTATCAACCCTTAAATTTACCAATCTGATAGATGAAAAATGGATTTTCATTGCAATTTAAATTGCAGCTAAAAATCTTTCAAGGTTATGGAACTAGAGAAGGAGAATTGAGTCTGAAATAAAGAATTTGACTGTCTCTTTTTAAAGAACTGAATCCATTAGATATTGTTTTTGCTCAAAAAGCTGCCACAGACATGAAACTCAAAAGGCCAAGGCATTTATCACAGCCAAACTATTCTATTGGCATGCCTCATGAAGCTCACTGTGGAAATACATTATGGGTTACAGTAATCAAATAAGGAGATTTTATAAGGTCCCATGATGTGACATCTACATGGTGTTTATTTCTCCTTGTGTTTCAGCTGGAAGGTCAGACCTGCTGCTTTTCTGCCCTGCACATCTCCTCTCTGAGAGCATTACTTAAGCGTTCTCACCCTAATTGCGCTCCAGGTACCCAGGTGCAGGCAGAACGTTAATATGCTCATGCGGTTCAACTGGAGAATAAACCTTGTGCTCTCCACTCTGTCCTTTAGGACGAAGGGAGACCTTCGGCAGGACTTTGGGGTGGGATGCAGTCAACGCTGACAGCTGCACAGATTTTTCTCAGCCCAGTTGAGCTCATCGCTAGCTCCCCGAGGAGGCAGTAACTGATTCCAGGAACTGCTTGGAATTTTCCCCTCATTTGCTGATATTTTCCCCTCACCCATAAAACACACACACAACCTTCTTCCCACAAAGCTTCCCCATATCCCTTGAGATTGTTAACTTATATGTATCATGAACTGAATTCTGGGATGCAGGGAAGTCATGTTTTTGAATTAACCACACTCTCAGATCATGAAGCTTTGACTGTCTTGTAATTCACTGAAAAGAGATTAAACCTTTAATTGAGCCAAAATTCATTTTAAATACAGCTAAAAATGGAGCACCTTTAATCTCATAGTGCATTCATTATTGGTATGTGCATTATTTCTATAGTGAAAAATTTTTGAACGTTTTTTCTATGATAACTGCATAAAGGAACAAGATGCAGCCTGATTGCTGTGGCTCAGTTGGTTGGAGCATGGTTCTGTATACTGCAAGCTTTTGTCTTTGATTCTTGGTCATGGCACATACCAAGGTTGTGGGTTCTATCCCAAGTCAGGCACGTACAGAAGGTAGACAGTCAATATCAATATCTGTCTCTCTCTTCCTCTCCCTCTCCCTCCATTCCCTCCTTTACCCTCTCTCAAAAATCAATAACCATATCCTTGGGTGAGGATTAAAAAGAAGAACAAGATCCAGGTTAATGGGATTCTGATTCTGAAGCATAATTCTCCATGAATTAAACCTTCAAGTATTAGTTCATTATAGTTATGATCATCACACTAGTTAGAAACAGTGAAATGCTGTGTTACACCATATGAAATTAAGATTTGTACCAGATTACTAACTCCGGGAGAGAAGGTACTTTTTCTGTTTTGTTCACTGTCATGTGCCCAGTACCTAAAACTTCCTGGAACAGAATAGACTCTCAAAATATTTTACTGAATAAATACTAATAATGTTAATATACTGATATTTCCTTCCTTATACCTGCAAATTAACTCAATAAAGTGTAAAAATCATTGCTCAACATCACTAATCATCAGGAAAATACAAATCAAAACGACATAAGATGTCTCCTCACACATGTTAGAATGCCTGTCATCAAGAAGACCAGAGACAATGGGAGCCAGAGAGAATGTGGCGAAAAATGAACCTTTATACATTATAGACGGGATGTATATTGTCCAACCACTATGAAAATAATATGGAGGTTCCTCAAAATAATAAAAATAAATATACCATATGATCCAGTAATTTCCACTTCTGGATATGTACCCAAAGGAAATGAAAAATTTCGCCGAAATCGGTTTGGCTCAGTGGATAGAGCTTGGGCTTGGGGACTGAAAGGTCCCGGGTTCGATTCCGGTCAAGGGCATGTACCTTGGTTGTGGGCACATCCCCAGTAGGGGGTGTGCAAGAGGCAGCTGATCGATGATTCTCTCTCATCGATGTTTCTAACTCTCTATCTCTCTCTCTCTCTCTCTTCCTCTCTGTATAAAATCAATAAAATATATATTTTTTAAAAAAGATTTCGACAAGATAAATACACTTTCATGTTTATCATAGCATCATTCACAATAGCCAAGACATAGAAACAACCCAATGAATGAACGGATAAAAAAGAAGTGGTACATAGGCACAACAGAATACAATTGGGGCATGAGGAAGAAAGACATCTTCCATTTGCAAAAACATGGATGGACCTTGAACATATTATTCTAAGTGAGATAAGTCAGACAGAAAAGTGCCAAGTACTGTAGAGTATCACTTATACGTGAAATCTAAAAAAGTTACACCCTTAATAAAAAAGTAAAATGGTGGTTAATAGAGGGTTAGGGGGAGGGTGATAGATAAGAGTGATGGTTTTTCTGGATGGAATTGGAGAACATCATGCTGGGTGAAATAAGCCAATCAATGAAAGAGAAATACCACATGACCTCACTCATTTATGGATAATAAAGAACATTATAAACTGATGAACCAAAAGATAGATATAGAGACAGTAAAGCAACAAGCAGACTGTCAAATTACAGCAGGTAGGGTAGGGAGATATGGGGGAGATAACAGATCAACAGAAGGACTTCTATACATGCATATAAGTACAACCAATGGACATAAAACTCTGGGAAGGGAGGGTATGTATGGGGGGAGGGGCAATGTTAAAATATGTACACAGATAATAATTTAATTTAAAAAATGTAAAAAAAAAAAAAAAAGAGTGATGGTTTTTAAGAGTACAAACTTGTAGTAAGTAACAAACATTGCCCAGTATAATGAATATAGACAATAACACTGTACTGTAATTATATAATGTGATAAATATCACTACATCAGCAATCATATTGCAATAGATAAATATATCAAAGCAACAGGCTGTACACCATAAACTTATGCAATGTTACAGGTCAGATTTATCCAAACAGAAAAAATTATTGCTTTAAAATTTTTCAGAAATCTCACATTTTTATACCGTTTTCACATCTTTCATGTTTTCTTTTTTCAAATTAAAGATGCAGTCTCTTTGTTTTTGATGCATGCAGATA